GAGAGAGAGGGCGGAGGGGCAGCACGTGAAGGACGTAGCGGGTGAGGAGTAGTAGGAGGAGCGAGCAGAAGAAGGCTTGGGACAGTGGGAAAGGGTTAGAGAAGAGAATTGGCGGCCGGAAACCCGAGGAGGAGGACAAGATCTAGAAGGGCAACACCTTGACCGAGAGCATGCAAACGACAAAAAAAAAATGTGTATACTACAAGCGGAGGAAGAAGAGGACAAGAAGAGAGGAGACGGAGGAGCAGAGGAAGAGGAGGAGAAGAGGAAGAGTAGGACGAAAGGATAAGCCCTTTCCACCGCATCACCTTCGTAATGCTCTCTCTCTGTCTCTCTCTCTCTCTCTCTCTCTCTCTCTCTCTCTCTCTCTCTCTCTCTATCTATCTCTCTCTCTCTCGCTCTGTGTGTGTTTGTGTGTGTGTCTCCCTCCCTCTCTCTCTGTATGGAGACTCACTTGATGGGAAGGCGGTTCGCTCCCTCACCTGCGGAGTATAGAAGCACTTCGATGCGGCTTTGACACACAATGAGTGAACTCAGAGAAGTGTCCGATGAAGGAAATGCGAATGCGACGGCGCAAGGCAGCTATCGACTGACTTCTCTGTTGCCAAGCACCTTCGACACGCACCTATTTATACCCACTTATACTGGACTCAGTGTCTGTGCGTGAAAGTGCGTGTGTGCGGTCGCTTGTGTGTGCGTGGGCGACGGTTCGAAGGGTGGGAAGGGGGGGTGTTCTCTCCCAAGTCCCCAGGACGCGAATCCTGCTGCAGGCGTTGGTGTCAATGATTGAGTCGTTCCAGTCCTATTGCAGGTCGAGTTTTTCTTCTCTTTGTTTTTTTTTGCTTTATCTTTTTTTTTCATCATTAAGCTGACCGGCCCCAGGTAATTCAGAAATAGGTGGTTTTACAACTTTTACTCATCAACAGGTTTCATCATCATCTGGATTCGAACACGGGTCTGTATTTTCAACTGTTCATGGGTGTGGTCCCCACTGAGCTAGGCTCTTGGGTTTTATCTTCTTTTTTTCATAAATGGTCCCATGAACCACGGTGGGGGCCATGTCCCACTAGCAGCGTTGAGCTACCTCAACGACTGAATCTGGATGTGTTTGTGGAGACGTGCAGTTCACGAAACTCGACACCATTTCTGCACGTCTCCGCAAAAGCGTCCAGATTCAGGCGTTGAGGTAGCTCAACGCTGCTAGTGGGACTTGGCCCCGGAGCCGATCTGAATAAAGGTGTCTTGTTCTCCTTTGAATCCTGAAGGGGACAGCCTTGACCTGGGGCGAGGTCCCACTAGCAACATGGATTGGATTGAAAGCCTGAATCTGGGCTTTTTGGTGGAAAGGTGCCCAGATTGAACTGCTTTTCTGCATCTCTGCTTAAAACACGTCCAGATTCAGGGGATTTATCCAATCCTCTTTGCTGGTGAGACCTCGCCCCTGGTGTCATAGTGGAGCGGACGGGCCCCAGGGGCGAGGTCCCACTAGCAACGGGATAGGATAGAAACGAGTTTGTGGGGCAGTTGAGTGACCCAAATCCTGCCGTGCACTACTCGTGATCCCACCGGCAGTATTTTACACTGGGCATGCCCGAAAAATTAAGGAGATCTTCGTTCCCCTCCCCCTCTCCTTAACACTGGGCATGCCCGTGCAAAGACAGCTTCCCGCCAGCATCTTTTCAATAGGTTGGGGGTGTGGCCAACCCCAAAGTAGGGTGGAGTTGGCCTTAGGCCCACTGGATAGAAGATTTTCGGTATTTACTTGCTGTTGTGCAATTATCTCATTGGGTGGAGCCCTCCTTCAATCACAGAGTATATATATGGAGGGCTTCATGATCACTGATGACAGAAGTTGAGTTTATTCCAGAAAATGTGGCTGTTACTTTGTTCACTGTTTTTGCAACCACCACCATCAGATCATTTGTGATCTGATGGCTGGGAAGCAGGCTGCTGTGATTTCCGGTGGGAGGTCTCTGTTTCTTCTTTTTTTAAGGCCTTTTTCCTGTTTTCTCAGCCCAGAAATTCGTTATGAACGTGTCTGACCGCTGCCACTCAGTGTCACACTGGATCGGCCACACTCCTATCCGACTGCTAATGGGACCTCGTCGGGAGTTTCTTTTTTTCTTTTTTTTGGGAGGTTTTTTTTTTTTAACACAAAAAAAGGAGTATATTTATAAAAGCTGGGAACCGGGCCCAGCGTCCCTCACAAAATTAGGTGGGGCCCTCGGTGGGCAAAGCATCACCGGCCAAGCACATAGAGGGTACCTCTAGATTTCACCCTGCAGCCAACTCCACAGCCAAATCCGCAGCCCCTACCACTGAAAAATCAACGAAATTTATCATCAAAGTCTAAAGCTCATCGCTAGAAATTTACATCACAGGAGTCACGTGAACCCCAATTTAGTGACCCAAATTCCACCGTCCATTAAGAAATCATGTGCAAACGGAACTACCGGAGAAAAACGAATCAAAACCACAAAAAAGAAACGAGCAGTCAGCACTGTGTGATCATGTCCACCCTTCATCCGGAGTTATTACCACCCCCTGCCAATCCGCCCTAGCACCCGCACGGCAGGGGTCTGTGCCCACAGGCCCTAAACTGCTGACAGAGACCCCGCAAACCCACCCACCTACTCGCGATAGCACCTCCCCACACCCCTCTTTAAAAAAACACCAGCTCCCACCACAATGCTGTTTCACTAAGCAGAGGATTACCCTACCTCCCGTGCGGCAGGGGTTAAAAAGCCCAGCTAAACCCACCCACCTCCTTGAAATTTAGGGTAAGCCTCTCCCTCAATCTACATACACCCCTTATGGATGCTTCGCCTCCCTCCATGACGAAGCCCCTGTGGAGAAACGCTCACCACTTGTCCAGAATTGAGATGACAGCAAACAGCAGCTAATATCTGACCCAAATTCAACGTCCCTATAGCGCAGCAGGGGTCAATTTTTTGTGTTCACTCATCTGATTGCACTGGATTTTTTTTGTTCGAGGAATTGCTCTGGAATTCGAACTCGGTGGCGACTGAAACAAAAAAAAAAAAAAAAAAAACCTCGGTGGCGAGGTCCCATCAGCAAAGGCGATTGGATTAAGATCCTGAATCTGGGTGTGTTTTAACCAGAGATGCAGAAAAGTAGTTCAATCTCGATTTTCTGCACCTCTGGACAGACGCGTCCAAATTCACTCGTTCAATCCAGTCCTCTTTACTAGTGGACCTTGACGCGGGTCTTTTTTTTTTTTTTTTTTTTTTTGAAGGATCAGAACAGTTTTTTTTTACAGTAATTGCACTGGAATTGGAACTCAGATCTTTGAACTGAAGGACCCCAGGACCTACTACGTACGTGCGGCCGTCCGTGACATCCATCAGTCGTCAGTCGTTGATCCAGTAGCGTATAGACTGCTAGTGTCGATTGTCTTTGTTTTTGTGGAGGGAGCTGCCCAGCGGCCAGTAGATTTTTTTATAATTCATTTCTTGGCCATTTAGTTGGCCACTTTGCATTGGCGGAGAGCTTCAATACTGTGTTTTTTTTTGGTGGGGGGGGTTGGGGTTGGGGGGGGGTGTTTTGAAGCTTCGAGCCTTGCTTTTTCTTTTTTGCAGAAATTGCGAATATTGATATTTCCATGGAAGACTGCGACTAGGCTCGCGGGAAGGTCACATGCAGATGTACGGGGTTAAACTTTGTGGAAGTGTGGATGCACAGCCTGTACTGTCATGATGTCAATGCCAGGCCGCCTGAAAAATAGCACTGTTTATGCATTTTTAAATGAGAAAAGAACGCCACACACGGTTTTAAATGATGCTGGTAGGGGAAGGGGTACTCAGGGAGGCACAGCAACTGGCCACTCAGATGATGCTC